AATGGGCCAAGAAGGAAGCCAAACCGGCGTACTCTTCTTCCTACCATTGTCATGGGCTAAATAACACGCCACTGGTTCTTACACAAATTCTATTATTATTAAAACATAGATGTTGAAAGTTTTTTTTTTGCAGCTATTCTCAGTCGGGAGATGCGTGAAAAGCTTCCTGATTGTAAAATATGCGCTTAGAAGCTAGCTCGGACAATCCAGAACAGATCCGACTTTCCCCTGATACCTGAATTTTCGAGGTAGTACCACTGCAATAGGAAGTCTTCCTGCGACCTTTGTTTCTCGTTCTTCCTTCCCCCTTTCGCTCATTACTTTCAAACTTCACTGTAACTGGACCAGGAGAATGCAGAATAAACGGATCAGATGAGCAAATCAAATTCCCGAGATTCACTCATGAATGCCTCCGTCTGTAGTTTCACCGATGCGTTTGGACCAAAAATGGGGGTATTTCAGAATAGCACTGGGAAAAGGAACACTAAGGAAACAAGTGAAGTACTGTACACGGGGTAAGAACATCTGAAGAAGGACGAGAAAAGAGTACCTCTGTAAATCACAATTTTGATATGCCGGGATTGAGGCTCGTAGAAAAATGCGCACTTCGATGAACCGGAAATGATGATCATACCGTTTACAAGCATATGTACAGTGGGCAGCTTCCTGTCAATCACCAATCATGGATTCGTGAGAGTACCAACGCGATAATCACGAACGCACATCGCTGCATCAATACCGTTGTTGATAAACTACCAGCTGGAAGCAGTGCAAATTTCAGGCTTAGCCCCCTGCAGATCAGCCTTTCCCAGGCAATGTTGCTAATTTGTTGGCAAAGTGCGCTGCACTTACAGGATGCGTCATCCACCACATAGTCCTGCTCCGTATCCATGGCGTCGGTATCCTCACCGAGGAACGCGTCTCGGACGCTGCCGAACCTACTCTGCTTCTCCCTGGAAATCCATCGCTGTGACTGCCTGCTTGTTGAGTGGAACGCCTCACTGCCGTCCTCAGCTGCTGCACTGGAAATGTATGGCCGTCCCGGGCCACTGGTTAGAGGAGCTTGCGCCCCATTCGTTGATACCTTCTGAAAAAACAAAATAAACATGTGAAAAAGTGTTCAGGAATCTCGACTGCAGTCAAAATGCCATTGTTCCTGAAAACTGCTGTTGTGAAGCTCCTAACCGATGTGCTATTTTGAAGTTGCCGGAAGGAGAAGTCGCCTTCAACTCCGTCCATCGCCAGCTGCCTGACATATTCCAGACGCGTCAAGTCTAGGCCATGCTTTGCGGCAAATTTCTGCGATTCATTACTCAGCCCGCCGTGAGCCTGAAAAACGCAAGATGCTTCCAGCAGAGAAGTCGGGTTTGCACTAACTAGTTTCACGTGAAAATGAGGTTCTAAATCGCTCGTATTCATCAAGACAGCGAAACTTCGCAAACGTTGAGTGAGAGATGCACTTGGAGACGTGAAAGAAAATCCCGTCACCTGTTCATATGGCACGCTGGAAGCCTTAAACGATTTCATGCTGGTACTTGCTAGAGCGTAGTCTGTTGCAGCTGCATGCCGTGCTATCGGTGCTTTCTCTGAAATACTTCACTGCAGCACAAATTCACAAACTCTGAATGAAGCCCTGGTCTAAAGCTAAATCCTAGAAGTAACTCTAAATTAAAATAACTCTAAGTAGCAGTGTTACAACTCTCTTCCCAGTTTCTGCATGATTTCAGGGTGGTAAAAGACTCCCCTCCCCGCCTCCGTCCTCCTCCCTTCCCCGCTCCCAAGAGCTCTCCTCTCCCTCCCATCCACCAGGAGTCCGTCCTGAATCCACCTATATTTGAAAAAGGCAGAAATGTGCTTAACTTCTTTAGTTTGACCTGGAAACTGCAATCTGCTTGAATAGTACGGATGAAACGCAACGCAAATAACGAAGGGTATGTAGCTCATTCTGGAAGAGGGTCATCGGTAGCGTTGGCCTGTCTTCTCCCGACTGCTAACAATCCAAGTTTGCTTTCATAGATCGCATCATACACAAAGTTGTTATTACCTTCTTGTGACTCTAGGAAGTCATGGGTGTCCGAGGGCCGAACATCGATACGCAGCCTCAAATTGGCAGTAACACATAAGCCCAGCCGAGAATTGTTCATGCCTTCCACTGAACCATTTGAGGTTGCTAAAATTGAGAACATTAGTGGAAGTGAAATGTACAGCCAGTGAAAATAATGTACGTGCGTCTGTACATATACGTGTGTGCGCCCGCATCTTTACTTCAGATGCATAGAAAGCTGAAATCTTGGGAATCGTGTGCTTAACTTTGTACTAGATCACAAGCTTTGAATTAACTCACATCCCTTTCTTTGTCCGGATCGGTGACCTCAAGCGCAAATCCAGATTAATCGTATAACTCCGAAATCAAAGAAGCTACAAGTTAGATATGGAAGACTAATTCTTTCTGTAACCTACTACAAATAATCTGAAATCAGCCTCCAATTTTCATGCTGGCTTGACCCATAACCTCGTATCCAATTTCTAGCTAATGCTATATTTCGAAAGCTACGGGAGCTAGCAGATGGAAATTTTAAGAATCATCCTTATAATTCCGAGCAACAAACTAAAAATCAGGTTCAAACTGCCAATGTGTCCTATATATTCAAGTTCACATCAACGTTTTGGTTAACTTTATAACTTGAAAATCAGTAAAAATACAAGCTAAACGTTTTGACCGATTAATTTGCTACGTGGTTTGAGCCAAATATAAATAAATTAGCTCCCAAACTCTGTAACATCCTGGCCTGTAACCTTAGCTTCTAGTTCACACAAAATTCGAGAACTCCGAAAGTCACAAGCTGATGATTTCGGTAGCTTAATCCACCAGAAAGTTCTGAGCAAAGAACATGAAATTAGTTTTCCCCCTTACTGAATCCAGTTCTATGAATTCAGGTTAAAATTTAGAAAAAAAAATTCTTTCAACTTCCAGCTCACGCAACAGTACTAGCAGAAAAATTATTTGCCCTTTGTTTTCATCAGTTTGATCGTTTAAGGTTGGTCCCACACAACACTGAAATTTAAACCAGACTAGATCATTCTTAACTAGACCTTATAACACAGACGTACAAACCGTCCCCCAGCTTGCACCATTCCGACAATTTTTCAAATTCCGATACAAAACGAAAGCTATTCACAACAAACTACTGAAATGTTAATACCCCTGCACCAGTGTAAACTAACTATGTCATTTCGATTCACTACCATTATTGCTGGTATTATGAAGTATTGTTTTACTATTCTAAAATCCCTCAAATTTTTGACTGAAGATCACTCAGAAAAATGATGTTCACTGCGATCGCTCGGGCACTCAAAGTACAGCACTCTCTGGATATCCGAATGCAGCCATACAGCAGAAGCAGCTGCTGCTTGAAGCTGTTCAGTTCCTGGTCCACCTGCCGCCGTTTCATGCCCTTTCAACGACTACTGCTTAAACAGGACGACAGCGATATGCACTGCGCAAGCACATTTGGACAAAATGTGCTCTTGCATTTGACTCTTTGAGAAGCACAAGGTTTACACGCGGATGCCAGCCAAGCCAGATGACACCCTACTCTGAAAACTAGCCACTTGTGCAGTAACGCTTCCAGTAATGTGGTGACCGTATCAGATCATTGTTGCGACAACTGCACCAATAGCTGAACAAAAATTTCAGGCTTCCGCAGAAATGGGATTTAATGTGAAAGAACAATGTTCTTAAAAAAACTGCAAGAATATCTAACATTTGTTTTTTTTACACCTGGATCATAAAATATTCCGGCTCGAAGTTTCCAGGCAGTTTCAATATGTGAAGTCATGACTTTCAGAGAAGTGCAGTAATAATATGCAGGCGACTGGCTGATACGTCAAAAGGGAGTTTATGCGGATGTTCACATAAAAATCTTATTCCCAGAACTATCTCAATTCCATAAATAGCCCCGAAAATCCAGACAGGAAAACAAACTAATTAAATAATATGATCGGCCTGGTTGATATTCGAAGCCATTGGATGATGGAGAAAGCTGTCGGAAGATAATTTTGTGAGTGACCGGAACCACTGCTAGCGGCGAATCACAGACAAGAAATGCTTGTGAGCGGCTGTCCAGTTCGCAACTCATGAACGATAAGTCGGAAACCTGCAAAACGCATCCTTGGGTTACAAATACTGCTGCAAGCATATTAAACAGTTTGGGACCGGCGATTTTGCTTAAGAGTTTTTCAGCACTTGGTTTTGAAGCTCCCTCTTCCCTTGCGCACTTCATTTTTTGAGAAAATCATTTGAGATCTCAACAAACGACGTTTTCGGTGCCGAAGCAACCAATCGCTGGTACTCGTTGAATACCGGCAAGTTCGGCCGAAGTTCCTGCTTCGATCAACGATTTCATGCCTTCTTAAGGCGGTCCAACGCCCTAGCATCAGTAACAGTCTCTCCCAGCTTCCAACAAGCAGTGGGAAAGAAGCAAGCTCAGCTTCAAATTCTCCTTTTTTTGACCACAATTGTTTAAATATGACTTTTTTTAACGTTCAAGCGCAAGGTTCAGTTAGCGGTATCCATCTTTGTATGTCAAAAAAAGCTATAAATTTCCATGCTGTACCTACTTTCCGCTACTTTTCCAGTTTATGGCTTATAACTGGAAAAAATGCATATGAAAAAAACTTTCCCAAGAAAAGAGCAAGCGGAATATGCACGAATAGAAAAATTTACTTCCAAAGTGAAATATTTCATGACTAGATACACCCTGGACTAGAACTCTTAGAACCGAGCAAAGTTGCTCCAACGACTGCACTCGAATGGAGAAACAATAAATTTATGGATTCCAATGTATACGAGAAATGCTTCAATCTTTTAGAAGCTGAACAGGTGAGTTTTGATTGTAGACCACTTATTTACCTGATGGATAATTAGTTGCTCATATTTGTTAGTGCTATCCTGGGTACTGTATGTAGGGCATACAATATCCATCGAATCCATGGCATCGACCTCAAAAAATGCTGCCCCAATACCAATTTCAGCATCTTTTGGGAAACGCGAACGATCGGTAAACCTGAAATTTCCGACGATACCAATCGTTTAAAGCCATAAAGCATTTACAGATGGACTCAGTGTTTGGTGCATTTAAAATGTAATAAAATGGGAATTCATCTGCAGAATTCTAAAAGAAAAACCGGTTGTGGGCCTCGCATTTTTTTACACGGAGCAACAGCGCCCATGATGGCAATTCGATGACAAAAAAAATTAATCAGTCTTTTCTAGAAATTTTTCTAAAGCTTCGCAATGACCATAGTCGTCCTCTGTCGAGCTCTCAGTGTAACTGATGTCATAAACTTTCAGCGCAGGAATGATACGCACCTCTAACCTAGACTGCTTGCTTCCAGATACTAGGCACAGCATAGCATGTGCGAGCGCCAACTTTTAATTTTCAGAATCATCAATGGTAACGACATCACGGAGGCTTATCCTTGAACAGGGAGTTACAAAACATTCGTGGAAAACGCGAAAGATTTTAAGAATTTTTTACAGAGACGAAGCAATTTTCACTCTCGCGCGGTAAAACAGTATGTAGTTTAGTAATTTATGAACTTAAAGCCAATTTTCCGAGTTTGCTGAGAGCTTCTCCTGAGCTATGAAGATTTCTAGTTTCCGACGATCTTCTCATAGTTCTCCAATCAGTCTTCTGCGACTGGCTTAAGGCGATTTTTTCAAAAAACTTCCCTAAAATTAAGTCGCAAATGAAAGCTTATTTCTGTGGTGCTAGGCATTTTTCCTCTTCTCACGCACGTCTGCAGAGATCTATACCAAACACACGCACACTCCAAAGATTCTAACCATAAGTGGACTGCAGTGCAATCACTGCATTTTTTACTTTCAAGTTTCTCCTGGCTGAAGACTACTTAAGTAATGTCATCGGTCTAGACAGGCTCACAGATCCCGTCACTGCCTTGTTGCCCGGGCTTTTTGCTACTTAGAGCAGAACACTCGCCAACAATCAATTCAAAACAATGCTTCATTATTTGTTCATTATCCTTGATATTTCCTTTGCGTCACTTGTTTCTGTGAATCTGAAGAAATGTTCGCTTTACTTCGATGCTCTCAGAAATTGTTGAATGCGCCAGAGCAGCTCAAATCAACCGCAACATCAGGTTTTCATAAATTCCTTGCAACTCACCACAGAGGTAAAATGAGCTGCATTTGACACCAATTTCGGTGACATAAAGGCACAAATCAACAGGGCCACAGTGGATATTTTTGCAGGAACAAGGTCTGCTAGCGAATGGTTTTATGGATTAGTCCGTTGCTACTGCTGCTGGCGCTATTGTTTATTCGGAACATTCTGCATTACAGCATCAATCAGTGTCTTTAAAAGGATTAATCAGCTACGAGCATTCATTCATTTCCCGAAAAAGTGGTCGGGAAACAGGCAGCTTAATGCGTGTCCCATCAGCAATGTATTGCTTTCCTGAATGCCACAAACAACACGCCAGCGCATAAATCTCCCTCATTTCTTGTTCACATTTTCCCCATTTTCCATCACTCGAGCACTTCGGAATTAGAGCTGCGTTGCGGAAAAGACGCTCATCGTAACAAAGCTGGTCCTTCGAAAACGCAGGAACCTGCTACTAGCACATCTTCATCACCTTCCTCAACATTATGGTACTTCTTTTTGTGCCACCTCTGAAATGTCTTCTGCCATCGCTGTCCCGGCCAAATGCATCCTGTCGACGTGCAATTCTAAGTCGCCAAAACTGCTACTCTACTTATACCAGTCACCAATGGAGACGCAACTTAAAATGAAATGACAAAACTTTAGCTTCTGGGACATTACCTCAAAGGCCTTTCTGAACGCTGACTTGCTCGTCAAATATCTCATTCTGAACTCTTTTAAAACAAAATTTACCGCACATGACAAAAATGTTGATTTGAAACTAAAGCGATCGAAAACTCGATCCCTCGAATAGAACAGGAAAAAAAACGACATAATAAAGATAGGCCAAGAAAAGACATAAAACTGGCGCAAATGAGATTAGGAAAACAGCTGCTGAATGCAATAACGTTGTTCTTTCAGTGCAATGACAAAACCATGTTGGCCATCATCTGCTGCGAGCCATTCCTTCCTATTCTTTCTGAACACCGCGAACATCTAATTTTCTAATTAATCAAACTTCCCTAATAAATGGTTGAGGTGTTTACACGCGTCATCTCGCCCTCTGCGGGATAATGTCTCGTTATATATTTTTGCATATATGCAAATGGAATAATTGGCCAGCGCACAGACTGCCGGTGCGAAGATGCGTTTCTTGCATAGTTCCTTGCAGGTTTTTGTTGCTAACGGCACCCGTTTTTCTGGTAAATGCTTCTGGCTAAGCGAACTGAGACTGGCCGCCAGGACTGTTAGAAAACACCATCTTAAACTTTTAGCTTTCTAACTTTTCGGGTCCCAGAGTTAGCAAACTACCCATAAAAAACTTTCACGATAAAGTACTTGGGAACCAGGAACCAGACATACTTAGAGGTTGAATTTGAAATCATTAAGTGCTACGTAAACGGGGAACTTGCCCTTAAAATTTCAGCTTTTTAGCTTTTCTGGTTCCCGAGTTAACAGCTTGCTCGCCAAAGTTTTTGGCGGGCCCACAGGTAGGTAAGAGCGCCCAGTTTGGGATAGGGGCCCGTACATGCATGCAGATTAAGGTCCCAAAAGTTCCAGCCCTGTAGCTTTTGAAGGTCTTGAGATAAAAAATCGGTACAGAAGAACACACAGACACAAACGCACACAGACAACCTTTCGACAACATGCGTTTTTGCATTACACAGATGCAAAAAATGCATATTGTGACGACCCCGGCGTGTGCGCGTGTGAGTACATGCGTGTGTGTGTACGTATGTGTGTGTACGCGCGTCTGTTCGGGTATTTCAATTCGGGAGCCAAGCAAGCTCCTGCACTGAAATTTTGCCAGTGGGTCTCTCGCCCAAGTGGCACCCCGGGATCGCGATACCAACCCGCATGCGCGTCTGGCTCCCGAATAAAAGCACGTGAAAATCTTGGCGGGAAAACTGCTAACTCGAGAGCTAGAAAAGCCGAGAGGTCGAAATTTTAATGGAATGTTCCCTACCCAAGTACTACGAAATTGCACAATTAACTTCCTGAATTCGAGAACCAATATGTCACAAATTCAAGCTACTGGGATTCCAAGTGATCTTATTACAGCACGAAATACTGCAAAACGCATGATCGCACGGGCCCGCCTGGTGAAACAGTGATTTGTCGTTAGTACGACTTTTCTCCTCCAGTTTATTCAGCAGAGTATTCCGTAAAAATTTGCTAGGTAGAACTCGCTAAATGCACGGATACGACAATCCCCGGTCTTCAGCTTCATCGTCGACTTGTATCCGCGATGTAAAAGCGTGCAGTAAGCACTGCGCAATTAGAAAAATTTGTCAGTGCGCCTCATCAATCAGGCAGTAGTCAAGATAACAATGTATGATAATGGATGATGACCTAAAAGAGTGACTTGTCCGTCAGCCTGTCTGTCACATCCAAATCTAGTCGCGAAAATCATTAACTGATCTGAACAGATCGTCCAATAGCGCACTTATCGAAGACACATTACTACGCAAATAATACAATGTACAATATGGCCATGGTTTTTTTGACTGGTTACTCAGGATGCACAGTGAATGGACATACCCGCAAAAACAAAAAGGCGATTATTTCAAACAGTGGTGACCTTTTGACTCATCCAACAGCCCTGGACTGCCAAATTTTTAAGTTACTGATTGGTCCATTTTTAAGTCATGATGCTCCAGCCTAAATTTGTTCCTAAATAAAAAAGTCCGAACACAGAGAGAGCTTGAAATTTATTTCAGACCGACTACCGAGACAGTCTGTTAAATAATATTCTTAAAAACCCAAATCTCTCATTTCTTATTTCAGAGTAATGAAGTTGAAACTGCGGTTACAAGTCAAAAGACAAGGCAGTTTAAGGTTTATTTAGAAATCATATATGCCACCCTATTAGAAAAGTTGGGTGTTTAGGGCTTAAAAGTTGCAGACTTTTTTTTTCAAGCCATGGATTTAGAGCATCTGTGGAAAGTTGTGGTACAGGGGCCAGAAAGCTCTTTTCAGATTTATGGCCTGCAGATCGATGAATGCCATGATTTTCATGAAGTGTCAGTCCGAAGATGTTTTTATAATGTTTTCAAGTCCGAACATGTTTTTAATGTAGTGTTTTCAATTTATGCGAAAACGCATAATTTGTCTGCGCTTGCGCAATTACAGTATCGGGTGCGTGATGCATTCTCTTCACGAAACATTAAGTTCGCATTAAATCCACAGCACAGGACATAATTCTGCACAGGAATTTGCGAAGAATGCTTGCGTCTAGTTTCCGAGGCGAACAACCGCTTCCTTTCTCTTCCACGCGTCTGCTGCTTTTAACAGCTAATAGACGATAATGAACGGTGATAATGGCAGCAGTTTCAAGCCGGTGTTGTTGTGTCCAGCTGTCGCATTAAGTAAACTTAAACAACCATCTCAGACAAAAGTGCCCGCCTTGGGATGAGTGCGTTAAAGTAGAAATAGTCCCTGAGATGCGCATGCCTTTGGATATCCCGAACACACCGAACGAATGACTTATGATGTACTTACGCAGCTGCCCTCGTAAATGAGCAGTGCAAGATATCTTGAAAACAGTGCTGTTCGAAAGCATTTCAGTACAGCGTTGTCCAGCAAATAGACAATAAGTCTGGGAAATGTTTTGTGCTGCTGAACCTGTTATTAGTGAATCCCTCATCCCAAATTAACTTAATTGGTGAGCAACCGAGCTGAAAACACAAGTGAGGTATGAACGAGGAGAGATGGGAATGACTGATATGAGTTCACTATTGCATAGGCACGGATTTCCGTGTTCTGGCTAGCAGACGTTCCTGAAAACAACGCAAATGAGAGGCCGAAAAAGAGGAAGCAGCATCCGCACCATATTACGATAATTTGGCCAATCTAATGAACACCCACGGTGCATATGCACCATTGTACCCCAGTAAGATAAACAAGCCAATTGGGATGTTGCGAGTGGAATTGCTTCACTGAACATGGGGGATGGCCTCACGCTAACTGACTCTTATCCGCGCAACCCGGAAATTCACCAATCCCAGCCGCCTCCAAATGACTGGGTTCCTGTTTGCAATGCTAAACAAAATCTGTTGTCACGCTATTTCCCATAGACCCAACAAATGGTTGTTTTCATTCAAGGTCAAGTCAGGCGGAGGTGGAAAACGAGATAAAATAGTTCCAGACCAAGCGCTAGCTTGGAAGCCTGAGACCGACTTCAAGGTTGGTCTGCATTTCGACCTGTGACTTCAAAAATCAATTCGTGTTGATTTCAGGATCCGAAAAAAATGAACACGAACTGAATTCTGAGATAACTGGCATAAACTAACCTGAAAGTCGGTTCCAAATTATGGAAATTTATTTTACTGCTCACTACAAGCAATTAGCTTTCAGTCAGTCCTTCAGAGCCCTTGGTTACCTAGTGTGTGATTTCCGGCGCCATTTAAGGCTGACTCTGGAATTTCAAAACCGATCGAGCTGGAAACTCGAAATTTTAACGCTTTAATTTATTAGGCACGGCGACAAGCACATCCCAGAATAAGAATTCAAATGCCACTATTTACCTGCCTAAAACGTACGTCAAATATGAGTTGATGTTATAATTTCAAAACGGAGGAAGCCATGGCCCTGAAATTTTTCATGCCTATAACGAGCTAGAGATCGTCCTACCCAATCCCACCCCACCCCCCTCCCCCATGCATTGGCATATTTGCCCACTGAGTGCCCGAACAGATTGTGGCAAAACTCATAATCCGGCACCGGCCCTCTTGTGTGCACATTACTGAATTTATTCTCTGCTCTAGAAATCGACGTAAAATTTCTAAGGAACACGCAAAGACGCACAAAAATCAGTGCGCACAGGAGGCCTAACGCGGTTTTAGGATCCCCAATACTTTAGGCGAATGTGTCAATACATATTGGATTGCCACATTCACCATCGTGAACTTTTGACCTACTTCACGCATATTACGATAATTCGAGTTAATGATTAGCTCTAATTTTAAAAGAATCAACATCTATTTCTGGAGATTCTCGGGCTTTTGGAGAGCGAGGACACTGGGCAGAAAATTTTGGTGCTGCGCATGCGCGAGGTGGGCTATGTGATCCTGATGAATGCATTCCCTCAATGTGTGCCCATCAAAACACATCACAAAAGCGCACACTTCCTGGTCAACAAATTCAAGAATTAATCTAAACTGTGGAATTATAAGCCATTCTAAATGAGTTTTGGCAGATGGAACCACAACAAAATGCGACGAATGAGATTGCAAAACGCAATCAAAAATCTACAAACGCATTTACGCAATTTTAAGGCTGAAGCAAACCCGCACAGGAGGCAAGAGAAGCACTAGTACTTTCCACTTTGTGACAAGTACCTCAGTAAAATATCAAAGCGGGATGCAGAAAATGCAGCAAGCCTGTGGCCATTAGAATTCAGTCATAGGTGCGCTTTTTAATAAGGCTTAAAGCTAGCTTCAAAGCGTTAATCTATGCCGAAAATTGCGAGTTTAGACCTGTGGAAATCAATACAGTCAAGAAATCCTTTTCATCTTTCAATCTCGCCTAGTGATGACATTCTGCCTACAGTATCCATCTGCTGAAACCTATTAAACTAGAAAGTTAGACCGAAACGTTTAATACGATAATAGGCATAGAAGTTTTACCAGTCGTCAAAAGTCTTAATGACGAAACACCGGATTGAAAACTCCAACCCTGTATAAAATTTGAAGCAGTAAAGGAGAGGAAAAACTGCGGGTTTTTTGAAACGTATTAAGATGTCCAGGTCTACTGGTATTCTTTACATATTAAGTTTCTGTTTCAGTAAACTGTTTCAGCAGATAACAGGTAAACGGACTGATGGACATCACCCCGTTCATAGACTTGACATCGCTGGAAAATTTAATGAAAGCACATAAAAAGCTGTTACTTTTTTTATAGTAAAGGCCCTTTCGTTTCATTCAAATGCAATGGGCCACAAAAAACAGCGCACTGTTGGCCATTCGATACTCATATAATTTTAATTCCACTAATGTGTCTCCTTTCAAGCTATCCTTGTCACACACATACACTTACATACGTACCACATATGCACACATACATTCACAGACAAACAAATGTAGACACAGACATACACAAATGTACATTCCATACATGGCTACCAAACACGTACATCAACGAAACGAGGCTGTGAGCTTTAATGTGATTACTTTTGACCAGATTTGAGCGTCCTTCCAAAAGCCGCCTGATGGATTAATGTGCAATTGTGGGCAGCACAGCACCTCCGGACAAGCTTCGTTCGCAGCCGATAATCACAATGGGTAATTTGTTTGTCACAGGAAAACTGACAAAAATCGCAGAGATATGCTCAAGCAGTTGACAAGCAACGCCATCAACAAAATGAATTTTATAATCGCCTTATTTTTAATTGCCCGGAGATTAAAAGCGCGCAGTCTAACATTTCTTTTTTACCATTTGAATTGGTTCCCTTCTTTCTGATTCTGAACTTTCCACAAATCCGTGAATTTGCAGAAAGTCTTTTGGGTTCGGAAACATCTTCGATTCGCTATCCAGCTAAACGCAGCTAGCATGCATAATTACCCTTGCTGGCCTCTTTCGGGGCGCCCCTCTAATATTCCGGGTTTCTACTTCTCAGATGTAGCATCCCTAGCATTTTAGCATTTCCAGAATCATTGCCTTGAAGCACTTCGGAAGTGGTCTTAAATCCTTTCCGCCGAGTTTTTATGCAATTTTTCCAATTATTTTCGACCCAGCTTCAAACTTTCCACCAAACGAACGATTTCCGCAATACCACATACAAACCCAACCACAGAGGAGCAGAATATAACTGGCAAATGGAAAATTCACCTGTTTTTCTTCTGAAATTCCATACTCAAAATTGCTTCCCATTCCTTTTTTCCCACACCGTACTCTTTAAAATATCGGTTTTGAAGCATTCTAGTGCTTAATTTGGCGCTTCCAAGCTAAATTTCATAGTATTTAATGCAAACTTAGCATTCTCAAGAATGCTTTTCAGACGCAATATAATGCTGTGTTCTAGCCCAAATTAACTTACACCAATCCGGCAGAACTTTATTCGCCTGAATTTAAATGCTGCGCCCCTATCTCCTTTTTTCCATATTCATTTCTCCCACATATGCAGTTCGATACCTTCCTCCTTCCCTGCTTCAGGATACAAACGTCGATACATATATATATATTACAGCGTATATCCATCCATACATGTGAGGTGGTCCGGGATGGGGTTGTCACTGCATCACTATGATTGACACACACGTGCATGAAGTCTTCTGGCATGTCTCATGAGACATGTTACAAATATTTGAATTTGAATTATTCCAATAATGGTCCAGCCCTTCGTTTCAGCTGAGTATTGGTTGAGGATTCTAAACAAAAGGGGTCAGAAATGTCCACCATATAAATGGATATTCCCACATTACACATTACACGTCTTTCAGCAAACTTGTTCAATAAATCGGCATTAACCTCTTGCAGACCTTATGAAGTATTTATCATGATGTTACCAAGCGCAGAATGCTCGCTAATTCATTCTCTTTTACATATTCCCTCTGAAGTCCGCTCTTCCTGTTATCCCCTCCCCACCCCTGTCCCCAGCTTCCGCCTCATTAGCATACCTTCCTCTTCCTCATTTCATCATTAACCTTGCCACAACCTATAATTATCGCTCTCACTCATTTGCTAACATGGGCTGAGAGATCATACTTCGAAAAAAAGTGTAGCGCTAATTCTTTCCGTTGTTAATTAAATATCTTTTGAAAATCTACTCCGCCAAAAGAATATTTTACAACTGGATTCTTAGTGCGTTACAATTAATATAATGTGTCATTTCAGGCAGGGCCGCTCAGGTTGATAATATAAGTTCAGTATGAGGCTCCAGTATAAGTTCAATGTCCCAAATTTCAGTAGTGACTACTGGATCACCGAGCTTGCGAGCAAGAAGTGTGAAAGAGGGTCCTGGCTAAATCAAACTCTTAGGTTCATCACTTTAATCGCCCTCCAACTGAAATGCACACACAATGTAGACTTAAAGTGACAGGTCAGGAAGGAGGAAAGAATCTGAGTTTATTCCATGTTTACAAACACTGTGAGAAGCAGCTATTTTTCCCTCAGTATTTCAAGTTTGTTGTAGCTTTGGTTTTGCGATTATGCATTTTGCCCGATTTTGGGCGCAAGGCTAGTGGTCCAGGATATAAAGGGACTTTAAAACTGATCTTGGGTTTCCGGAGAGTTAGTGTCACCCTTCGTAAATTTTAAGCCTAATCTTTTTCGTAATTATAAGATCTGCCTGAACTTAACCCCAAAATCAATTGTTAGGACACAAAGTGACTTGGAAGATATTTCTCTTTTTGAAGCTCGTATTCGATTGTTTACAACATTCAACAGTCCAATTTCGCAGTTCCGGAGTTGAAGTGTACGAGCAGACAGAAAGACATGCACACACTGGCAGAGTCTTGCATTAATGCATTTCTGCGTCCTGATACAGCACAGGAATGCAAAAAAAAGCATTTGCCAAAATGGTTAAAAGCTAACATTAGAAGCTAACAGTACCAGTTATTCCACTGAAAAAACCTGCTAACGCGAGCCGATTCCACAGCCCTTGCTACTCATATTTCAGTAGTCATTTTTTTTTTCTTTTGCTCATTTACTGAGTATTTAAACACTTTGGAAATTTTAATAATACTGCCCAGCATATCTAAAATGTACAGTCTGGAGGCTGTATGTCAGTCGTAATCGTCGTCACAGCTGGCTTACTGTTCCAACGATTCGCTGATACGGTAAATGTCATCTCGAATTGTGGAAAGTAATCCATCTGAGTGTACGAGGGGTAAGGAAGGAGGCAGTACCGAAGTGCTCGGACAGACGACATTCGACAAATCCTTTTTGACATGTATCATCGATTATAACATTTCCAGATTCCATCCTGCATCGTCGTCACCGCGGCCGTCGAGCGGTTTACTAAAAGTGCAAGCTGGCTTCCTTCCATACACATTTCGCCTTTTTCATCAGCAGTAATAAATCTTCAAAGAAAAAGCTACTTACGCCATCTGGAGCCACTGTAAAAAGCGGCTCCCCCTTGTTCTTGCTGTTTATCCAGCAAAAACGTATCACAGCAAAGGGCAAACTTGATGAGTAGAGCTTTTGAATTTATCTCGGGATATGATAACATTCACATATTGGAATTGTTGGAGGCAGGGGAATTTTTGTCTCCCAAAGGCAACAAATAAGAAAGGTTGCCCATCAGTGGAGGTAGTGAAAAGGATAGACGAGGAAATGGTTGTCAGGTTAATCCCTACTTGAGCATGTCCGCACCCTTGTTAAGTACTCCCAATAGCCCCATTCACTCATTTCAAGTGACCACACATCATCGACGATGAAGTATTGCACAGACGAAGCTGAACTGTCAAAATCAGAATTACTTTAGTTAGTGAACTATGCCGCTGTCTGCACTAGAAATCGGCGCGACAAACTATTCGGCCAACACTCTGAGGACACATTTCTGAAACACACTGTCGGATGGACTGCAATTCAAAGCTTGCGAAAAATGTTCTGCAACTGTTTTAAATTTTCAGTACACCAAGTGCTCACAGATGTCCCCTTCCCGCCTGCTCAAAACGCAGCTGATTTTTGCTACAACTTCGCACGCATGTATTGCTACACAAACACAGGTGCATCTGACCGGCAAGAGTGGCCAGATCATTGGTCACAACCGCTGCTCCAGGAAAAAGGGCAATTGCGCATTCGATTTCTTCAAACAAGAAATGAATAGGCCATTTGGTGTATAAAAAGGATCAATTTGCATAAATGTGTGTGAATGGAAGGATGCTTGCAATAAAACGTATAAAACAATGAAAGCGCCTTCGTCTTTGCTGGTGCATTCATCACCGCCAACCTCTCCACCGACTGCTTCCAAAGGCAAACTCCGGACAAGCGCGTATTTTATGGCACACTCCGTGTGTGATGAACCTATGAACCATGTGCATGAACTACAGGATATCAATCATAATAATGCTCATTACCGAGCAGAACTGTGAAAACAGTTTTGCCAAATTTCTCAATTTTGAATTCCTGAAGATTAATGGCAGTTGGAGTTTCTTAAATTTGCCCACGGAGTTCCCGCACTGCAGAGTTTCCAAATAACCATTTTTTGAATTCGAAGCAACCCCTATTTCTCTTTACCTAGAAGCACGCGGATTAATAAACACCAGCAGAGTTGGGTAAGCTGAGCTGTTCCAATTTTTTTTTCAAGCTTCAATAAAACTGAGCACTTTAGAAAACGTTAATTATCCAGGAAAGAGTCCTCCTAGACGAATCTTGACGAATACGATTTAAAAAAAAAATCCTGACTTAAGGCATCTGAAGCACTCTGCAAAAGCAAAATTTTGTGGGAAAAATCGACGGTCAGCTCCGAGAAAGCCCACTTATTTCAAATCAATTATTTATCATTTTCTGAACATATCCGAGGAGTACGTCCCCTAGAAAAATTGATAATTTCTTCTGAAACAAAACATGCTTCGCTTCCAGTAAAAATGCCTTTGCAACTGTTCTTTTCGAGCACTCAGCTTTTTGTTTTGCAGCTTTATTCTCTACATCAAAATTCATGTCTCACCACCTCATTTTTGACCGCTCCACATAAAAGAAGAAAAAAACGAAATTTTAAATGGATAACTCCACAAGCTAAGTCCATTTTTATCTGCCAAATCAAAAACAGTTTCTTACGATAGCATAGCGCCGCTGAATGATCTGGAAGCGTCATTTAGAGTACTCGCACCCAACTTTTACAATGCGTATCCACTACACACTTTACTATTTTCCTGCGATTCTTTTCCACCTGTTTCATTATCACGTGCTTTGGCACAAGCAGAAAGCCAATTTTGGATATTTCATTGCACTTTGTCTTTTCAACTTGTGGATAGCCAAAACGACCTAGCGCACATCCAGAGTCTGCGGCCTCGAACATCTGCCTACGCAAAGGCGAGGCCGCAGTAAAGAAAAATCCACACTGCAACGTTGTAGGATATTTTCACGTTGTTTCGTTCACGACGACCGTGCATAATTTTTGTTGAAGATCTACAAAACGACGACCGACACTTTTTCGTTTGGCCCAGCTCCCTCCTCAATTTCTCAACCCGAGAAGATTCGGGAGAGCCCCATTTTTACACTATTATACACAACTGTTTTGGAGGAAACCACAGCGATATGTGCAATGTCGTAAAAGTCGCACCCTCAAGGAGTGACGTTAAGCTGTGGTGGAAAACAAAATGTGTGACAATAAGCCTACCCTCAAACATTTGGAATAATAAAACATGAAAGTGATCACACCAAGACAGCTTAATCTTTGCTCCAGGGGCTAGCCGACTATGGAAAGCACGTTTCTGGTGTAAATATAATCCGGATTAAATTACTTTCAGGCTGAGAGGAGGGACAGAGTGGATGCAGTCAGTAAGCCAATCCTATAACCATTTGGCCTTCAAATATAAATGGAGAGAGACACAATCCGTTCGCCGAACCTTTCACGAAGCAATCATACAACGTATAACCTCGTTACTAATATTATATCCGAGCAGTTCCATTCTTAACTTCAGCTGTTCCCATTTTGCTGGCACAGTCAAAAGAGCCGTCTTATCCCTTACGACAAATGAAACAGTGATTACAGGTGAAAGAAGATGGAGAAACAGTTGCATAAAGTCGACTGGAAGATGCTCTGCTTTGCAAAGAAGGATCTGATATCTGCTTCCCGGGAACTGCCTTTTCTTGACAGCACTGTACTGCGCGAAAGGATTCACTAGCTGTTCTCAGTGACTTAGGATAAAGGCCTACGATTCAACGGGCCGAAAAGTTCAGTAAACTAATATTATCGTTTTTACATTTTGTTGAACTTCTTAAATGATTTAATCAAAACGCATGCATGCGTCTCCCTTGCCTTTCTGTGCTGGCCGTGCTCTTCAGGATGCGCTATCCGAATGACTTCTGCATGCCACTTGGTGCTACTGGTCCAGCTACACTGAGTCAGCAATTCTTTAATAAACAAAAAGCCAGCAGTGAGATTAGAAAAGCGCCCGAAGAATGCACGGACGGATGGATCTGTTGCAAGGCCAATATACAAACAGCCATCCCAAAGCCGCCATCTACCGCCCTTACACATTGTCCTACGTTCTACTTTTAACTCACTTTCAGACTCAGAAGCTGAAGATAGCTATTTCTGGAACAAAATTATGTTTGACAATAATTCGAAAATTGCCGTGACAAGAAGAGTGCGGTCAGGATTCGAGAATTATTCGTTGCATCTCGGTTCCATATGCCACAAATTTCTGAAATACTGCTACAAACGGAATGAATGTTTTGCGAAGAACGCTTTTTCCAAAGCCCAGTCAGATCTAGAGCAAATGTTTAAACGTTGATGAAATTTCGCAAGCTAGTCATATCTGGCATGCATAGAGGTCTATTGCACCATCACTTGCTGCACATAATAACGCCAGAAGTTTCAGTGGTTTAAATGCCACAGATGTGGAGCAAATCTTCACAATCTTTTTTTTATTTTGCAAAGTGGTACTATTAAATCTAAACACGCCAAAATTCAAGCTGCCTAAGTCTTCTTCCTGAAACATTCTCATCTGGGCTGCAAACTGTAACCTCCTTAATGCACTGTTGCCAGCTGCAGCAAAGACAGGTGGCGATTAGTGGGATTTCGTCAGGACACAGTCAAGATTTTGAGAGTAGCTTGTTTAAGCCACAACAAAAGTCGACAACCATAAAAAATGTTGTAGCTAATTTCCCCCAAACCATGAGGGCGGCTTTTAAATTTTGCTTTTTTTTGGCTCCGGTCAATTTGCTAATGCTGACAGCTGTTCCAGGCAAATGCGCATATGCGCAGCTAATCCAAGAACTGCCCATCTTTCTATCCGTAAATTAATGATTGTGGAACTAGTAATTAAAACAAAGCTTTTTATGAGTTGCAAGCTGCTTCGTAATTTCCATTACCCGGTTAGCCACTGCTGATTCTTCTGGGCTGTTTTCAGTAGAGATGCTTGAAGCGGTCTGAGAATCAATTATTTTTTATGCGTTTTGCACGGATGACTTTGTGCAAATAAAATGCATCTTGGTGTGGTTACGTTTTTATGCACGTGCAGGCAAAACCGGTGTGAGGAAAGTCAAATTCAAGAAGCACTCGCAAGAAGTAATGATCTCCAATTAATGCAACCTCGAAAACACTGAATTCTGCATATATAGCCTTTGTCCTGGTCCAAATCCTGAAACTGGCTTACCATCTCTTTTTCTCGGGACCAAATTCAGACTGATTTTATACATCGACAACCAAAAAAAAAATATAGAAAATTCACAGTGAAATTTTTGGTAGCTTAATCCACCAACTAAAGAGAAACAAAGTGCATGGAACCACATACAATTTCTTACTGTATCCCATCCTATGATCTTAAATTTTCTGACGTGATAATCACGAAGGCTACAAATTAAAGCTCTTGCGCGATTAATCCGCAAATAATTGAAGGAATATTTGGGATCCAGGAGTTTCGACTAGGAATAAACCGCAAGCACCGAGAAATATGTGAAACATCTGCGATGCTTCCGCATCTTCAAGCAAAACTGACGCTGGTGGAATCCAATGTAAAGAGTCTGTGAATTACGGGCATCATTCCAGAGTTTTCATGAAATTTCCAGCTGCATGCTTTTTTGCAATTTATAATCTTTTTAAAGTTGATAGCGGGAGAAATTTTCACTCTGGTATGGCTCTTAATGCGCACGAAGGTCTTCGAAGGTCTATTTAGTTCATCCTTTCTCATTCTGGTGAGAACTGTTGAGCGCCCTATTTTCGACATCTTTGTCCTCTTGTTTTTTTATCATAAATTTCACAGTGGATCGTGTCCAGGAAAAGGAAACGACTACTTGATGGGCTAACGAGTAGACGCAAGCCTACATAACGCAGACGCAACGGATTCGTTAATCCCAACAACTCTAGCAGCACTCAATCTGAGCAGCGATTGTCCGGGTAGTCTTGG